CCTTTCATACTTTGAAAACCCCTGGTTTAGATCATAGTGTTTTCCTCTCTTTAAATGGCCTTTAAAATTGACAATAACAGATCTAATCTTATGGCGCTGGAATTCATTTATAGTGAAGAGTGTATGTTTCAGTCTGGAGATGTTCAAAGCTGGTGGTGACCCAGCTGGTGCATCCCAGGCCTGATTCAAACCCTGCGCCTCTTTGCTACAAGGCAACATGCTGCAAACTTTAGCCTCAGTCCAATCAATCTATGCAGAGGAAGCTGAGCTTATGAAAAGAAATACACAAAAATGTTTTCTTTAGATTTGTTTTCTTCGTCTGTTTTCTAACTACGTTTTACCAAAGACTTATTGGCCTTGTCATTTCATCACTCAAAAGTTTGTCTGGCTTAGTATTGGATTTAATGAACAATAATCACACTTTTCAAAATAAAAGCCTTCCTTTGTGCGCAGATCACCAAAGTTCCAGTCCAGAGCTGCCACCTGAAGAAAGACTGCCACTCCTGTGTGTCCATGAAGGATCCATACTGTGGCTGGTGTGTCTTGGATGGAAAGTAAGGATTTCCTGAAACCTCAGATGTTTTAGTCAAATTGAATTAAGTTTAAAAGATGCTAAAGATGCACAGGACTCACCCTGTCATAACCTTGTAATGAAATGTTTTTATTGTTGACAGGTGTAGCACTAAGAATGACTGCAGCAGGTCAGACGAGGACAACACATGGCTGTGGTCTCCCAATCAGCAGTGCGTTAGGATCAAAGCCTTTGACCCACCAAACCTCAGCAGCAAGAAGCAAGAGCAGGTATGTGAAAATTCCAGTAAAGGATGAGAACGAACATGAACGCTTCGCTCATTCCGTCTCTGTAGGCTGGAATCCCCTAAAGCAAAGTTAGGCTGGTCCAACCTGAATGTGACGCAGACTCCAACTTTAATTTAAATTCATCTGCCAGATGTTTGGGTTTTTTTCTTTTGTAACGAACAGTTTGCATGAAATGTTTAAGGATGATGCAAATATCTTTTCTCGGAAATAGTTTTTACGCCCAGGTATTCATAATTCCAGTGAGTTATGAACAAGCAGTGACTCCTCCAGGTAAAAAGTATTGGCTAAGTTTACAAACTGATTTCTGAAAGAAGGTGTTTAATTTAAACCCCTCTTTGAATCGTATTTTTTTTTAAAAGTGAAAGTTATTACTAATTTTTCTCCCTTTAATTACACGCACGGATGCCCATTCAAGTTTCCTATTTAATCTCCAATCCGAAACCTTAAGTCAGTCCTGCATAGAAATCTGTACACATGAAAATCAACATGAACTCCCATCTGGTGTTCCTACCTCTTATGTACAATGTCTGTTCGTCTCTCAATTCTAAGATAGTCTAAGATAGAAAAATGATAGTGGTTTAGATGATAATTTTCCCTTGTGGATTTAAATCAGCAAATGTGTTGGCCAGGTAGCTGCCAAAGCTAATTTTAAAAGCTTGATTACATACTTTTAGCCGTATTTAAACATAAGAAACTTTATTTGTTAAGCTTTTACTTTACATGTAGAACTATTAATCATTTTTAATCATACTTCAAATTTGTATTCTTTTATGCCAAGGGTAATGTTGGGATGTTATTATTATCTCACTCTTCTAATTTTAGCTTATAAATGCATCTTATGGGTTGATTTTAGCATAAAGTTAACATTATGACATTGGGCTCCATGCTGCAGTTGGAATTTTCCAAGATCAGTTGTGAATTAATGGTCAAGCTGATAAATATTTTAGTTTTTATTTTTTTTCAAATATGATTAGGTGCCTAGTTGCTAACCTGTTGTAAAGAGCTATATTTTATTGTTAGTTTGTTTTTTGGACATGTTTATATTTTAGACGTTTTGATATGGTGAGTCAACCAGATTCCTAAGATTAAATCCAGTGATATTTCCACCTTAGAGATAATAAACCATTAAATGTTATTAAGATGAAATGTAGACACTGGGAGAGTTACAATTTAATTTATTATTACACATATATTCATATTTAAACAGTAAAAATCAATGGTAATAGGAGGAAAATGTCTCCTCACTTTTTTGAACATTTCCAAAGACTTTAACAAAAATAAAGCTGTATTAATGTAGTTTATTAAAGCAGAGACTAATTCAATCATGCATCATTCTTATCCATCCTCTGATTTATGCTTTTTCTTTCCAAGATTCTTCATCTCTTCTTCTCCTATTTGCTTTACACTTCTGAAACCTGATTCCTCTTTTCATCTTATTTATCTCCTTTTTTCCAATTAACAATTAAAATACAGTTTTTATTTCAGATATGCTTCAAACTTTTATTTTTAGATAAGAACCTGGAGTCATCCTAATAAAATCTTCTTATGAACCTTATTATTTTTTTATATCTAAGTGTCCTCAGCTAACTAAATGCACAAAAACACTATTGTTATTATTACTCTTGTTATTGTTTAAATGCTCCTTTTAAACCAGGGATTTTCCCTCCTCATATTTCTGTTCATTGGGTTTTTGTTTCTTTCACAGCTCTTGTCACTGAATCCCTTTTTTTTTATCAGTAACTGTCATGTGTCCAAACAGATTAGACAAACACGTTTAATCCTGGGAATCATTTTTCACAAATCTCTTTCAAAAAACAGCCAGCTATCTCCTAACCTGCTCTGAAAATACAAACTAAAAGTTGCAAATCAATTTAAAACCACCTGCTTAGATGAACTCTTGTTGACAATGTAGGCGCCTCTTTTTTTAGGGTTTCTCACCCTCTCTCTCTCTCTCTCTCTTCCCCTCTAGTCTTTCCTTCTTTCTTAATAAAAGTTTGGCTCATTTTCTCTTCTGTTCTCATCTTGAATGAAACAAAACTCTTTTTTTTTTATTGTTACTGTTAACCACTCAACCAACCTAGCATGACAGCAAGGATCAGCCCAAGGAAAAGAAAACCAATCAGTTCACCCATAGCAAAGCAGAGGACGGCTCCCCATCAGTGGCGACTCAGGCTCTGCTCTTTTATTTATTGCTTTTTCACAAGCAGCGCTCGCCTCTAATGACTGTAATGTTAATAAAGGCACAAACAGCTACTGCAGCAGCTGTGATGAGCAGCATGCTCTCTGACGCCGTTTACACAGCTACTGTAAAACCGGTTTAGACATATCCTGCCCCTGGAAACCAGGGACATCTAAACACCTGATCATGTGGTATCCTTGATTCTTTATATTGGAAATATAAATTTGGTTTTAAATTCAAATAAGTTTCAGTCTAAAGCGGCACTAAGTATTTTAGGAGTGGAGTTTTCATCGCACCATGCCTAAAATAGATCAATCTAAACTAACAACAGTAACACTAACAGAGGTTCATTTCAGTTCAGTTTATTTCTATAGAATCAATTCACAACACGTCACCTCAAGGCACTTTATAGAGATAATTCAACCAGATCATACTTTCAGATTGATTCAAAGTTTTCTATCTAAGGAAAACCGGTTGATTGCATCGACTCATTGACTCTTCAGCAATCCCTCACTCTAAGCATGCTTGTAGCGACAGTGGAGAGGAAAAACTCCAAACAGCCAAACAGGAACAGACCAGATGAAGCTACTATGAGAAAAAGCAGAGAGAGCAGAACGTTAG